AGATTATAGGCAGTGGGAAAAGGGGAAATGAATTTCTTCACTGTCTGAAACGTGTCGTGCCAAAAAACAAAAGGTGCCCGAAGGAAAGTCCAGATTCCAGCGACTTTGTAATAACCACACAAAGGCGCACCCAGGCCTGCAAGGGGGGGCTCGCTCACCGCAGCCCGCAGTCCCCTCTGAGCAGCTCTGAGATCGAAACCCTGTCTCAGTGAGTGACTCGGGGCCTGCCGCAGGCTTCGCAGAAGCGGCCTCCGTTCCGAACCAGAGGTTCTAAAAAGACACCCAATTTCATCTGCTCCAGGCTTTTTCCTCCTCTGCAAAACAGAGACACGTCCCCTTGGCCCCAGCGACCTTGAGGATGAAGTCCAATGAGGGAATGTTCTGGAAATGCACGGTGTAGGGAGGGTGTAGCAACAGCAACTTTCCCCTAAAGGTGCTAGCACGGCCTCCTGCAAATAGAACTGGGGCGCAGGTCCTCATGTCCCGTGGGACACACGGAGGCCCCGCGGGCCTGGTTAGCTCCGCGTTCTGTACACTGGAGACCCCACTGCTCTCCGGGGAAGAAATCCAACCCCGTGTCAGCAAGAGCCACAGGGCCCAGGCTTCCTGAAGGTGGGACTCTTCAGCGGCGACTTCTATTCTTTCCATAATTTTACTTGGCTCCTTCATTCCTCCTGAGCTCCATGGGAAGGGGCAGGGAGGCCGGCTGCTCTGGGACTGAGGTGACCTGCCACCGCTAGCACAGGAAGCAGGGCCTCAGATGTCCATGTCCTTCGCGTGTTCAAGGTGACTTTGCAGCCTAGGTCCCTTTTCTCTCCTTCTTTTTTTTCTTATAAACCGAGGATGTCATGAACACGCCAGAGCCGAACATTTGTCAATGGGCCAGTTCTCCAGAGAAGGAACCGAAAATGGCAAACGGCATGATGCGTTGGCGTGGATTGTGAGTTTGCAAATCAGAGATTAGTGTGTGAAAAAAAATATAGGCACCATTGGAAAAACAAGGAGCTACTTCCATGTGGTCCATGCGCCACACACACACACACACACACACACACACAGCTCGTTGTCAAATTAATTTGAAAGGCCATTTAGCCCTGAGCTATCACTGCATTCAGTCCTCTCGGCCCCTGCGCCCAGCACCAGTATCTCCCGACAGCAGTTCTCTGCCTGGGGTCGGTTTGACAGCCTTCAGGTTTCCGCCCATCACTGGAAGCCCCTCGTCCCACTCACCCCCACCCCCTTCGGTTCTGGAGGTATAAGCCATCTCTTGAGGCACACACTGTCCACTGGTAAAAATCAATTTTGATTTTATCAGTATTTATTACTGCTGGTGCCAGCAGTTTAGACAGATTAAAGAGGGAAAACATGCAAACTAGGAGAGAAAAAAATTAAAGATGGGCCTTCGTGCCTATAATTAATATAGCCTGCTCTCTTGAAGGGGCGTTTTGCATTGTGCCGAGGGAACTTAAATTGTCCATTTAAAAATGCAGTCAAATAAATATGTAAGGGACTCTGTTCCCGTGTACGTCTCTTAGTGCTCACGAGCTAGGCGGTGGGCGTTCCTAAAAGAAGGGCGCTGTGCTCAGGTGTGCAGCAGAACCAGCAGCAACCCCGCCCCTGGGCCTGCGGCCGCCCAGCTCAGCTCTGGGCCAGGCCCTGCCCAGCGCCGGCCTTGTTCTAAGCTGGTTCATTCATTCCAAGGATCTCTCACCCTCTTGGGGGAGAACAGACCATGTGAGAGGACCACATGTACCCCTCTTTGCCTTACTCTTTTTTGCCTCCTTCCAGAAAAGACCCTCAAAATGTGTGGGCTTCGCTGGGGTCAAGCCCTTGAGTGTTTCGGCACTTTGAGTCGTCCCCGAACCTCAGCAGAGCTGGCTCCTCACGCATCCTCTTCTGACACACTCTTGACTCCCCAGGACGACCCAGGGAAGAGCCCGAGCCACCCCCGGGGGCCCCCACCACTACCCTCCCCGGGGAGCCCCCTCATCCCGCTCGGCCAAAATGCCCCACAAGCGAACGTGTTCCCCAAGTTGGAACCTCTAACGGGGACACAGACTCTACAGGATGTTGAGTTAAAAAGAAGAGACAACTTTGGATTTTCAATGTCAATGTCTGGCTGCAAACAATGCCCACATCCGCCTGCTCCCGGGTGTCTGTAAAATGCTGAGTCTCATTCAAAATGCAAAGCCCAGGAGGTCCCCCAGGCACTGTAAGGACAGTGGAGCAAGGGAGGCGCCGGCCTCGGGCCAGCCCTGCTGGCTGTCGTGAATGAAGCTTTATCGGAACACACAGGCGTGTCCTTTCACACCCAGCCTGCGGAGCCCTGCCTGGGGGAACCAGGACCTCCCTCCCTGTCCAGGACGAGCACGGCCCTCCCTCCCTTCAGTCCACTCCTTCCAAGGCCAGAAGCTCCTGGAGGCTACGTAAACATCACTCACCGCAGCTCCCATACTTGGGCAAATTCTAGTCCGCTCACAGAAAATTGATGTCAGAAGGCACATGCCTCACCGCGTGGTCCCTTTGTTCCCTGGGTCCATGTGGAAAAAACACTGGAGGCCCATGTGTGCCTGGGCAGCCTGCCCTGTCTGCCAGCTGAGTGCAGTCTGAGGGAGATGTGGGGGGAGGGGAGGGGTTGCGGCCAAGAACTTGGGACAGAGTGAGCCCCTCATTGAGAAGACAGGAAGCTACCGGCTAAATAGCCAGCGATCCCCCCCCCCAGCCCCTCTCGAGGTCCCGGGACCATGGGGACCAAAACCTCAGGCCCCCTTGCCCGCCCCCCACCCCCACCAGACTCAGGAAAGTGACTCAGGGTGTGTGACTTCTAAGAACGCTCTTCCTGGTGTTGAGTTTGTCTTTTGAAACCCACTCGCCCGCTGCAGCCATGCTCAGCACCCCCCCCACCGGTCTCTTCTGCACGACTCCTTAACCCAGAGGGAAGGCTCTTTCCACTGAGGGCCCAGTGAGGGCAGGACAAGGGTGACCGGCTGCTTAAGATGTTCAGCAGTTTTGTTTTACTGTTTAAGCTACTCCCTCCCAAGTGTGTGTGTGTGTGTACATGTGTGTATATATACACATACACACAGGGACAGACCTTGTATGTTGGCTTAGATTTAATAATTACATATGTATATATAAATAATTAAACATACAAGGTCTGTTCAGAAAAAGTCCAGCCACAGTTGATACGAGAACGGTTCACACAGCATCCACGTAACCTGCTGGCCAAGGAGAGTGGACTGGAGTGCACACGTGTGAACAATAACGACTTCACTGCACTAGTCAGCGGGGGCGGTAGACGCTGTTGAATGAGCGTGTGCACTGTGTGGCCGCCACATTAAAAATGACTGAGCAAGAAGAGCAACAAACCTGCATCGGATTCTGCGTTAAGCTTGAACATTCCTCTGTGGAAACTGTTCGAATGATTCAGAAGGGCAACTATGGGCAACTGGGGATGGGCGGCTTCATCTCAACAACACACCCACTCGTGCATCACGTCTCGTGCAGAGTTTTCTGGTCAAACATCAAATCACCCAGGTGACTCAGTCCCCCCCACAGCCCAGATTCGGCACCCTGCGACTTCTGGCTTTTCACAAAACTACAATCACTTTTGAAAGGGAAGAGATTTCAGACCATCAGTGAGATTCAGGAAAATACGACGGGGCAGCTGATGGTCAGTGGGAGGACAGTGTGAGGTCCCCAGGTGCCTACTTTGAAGGAGACGGAGGCATCACTGTCCTACGTACAATGTTTCTTGTACCTTCTTCAGTAAGTGTCTCTACTGTGCGTATTGCCTGCCTGGATACCTTCTGGACAGACCTGATATATTTTCTCGTGAGTAGGACGCACTTTAAAATCAATCTTCTAATAACAAAACAATGACAACGATAAAAGTAATAAATCCTCCCAAGCAACAAACGTGACAACAAGTGGATTCTTAATTTGGGGGCTTTATTTCATTTTTTTCTTTTTAAGATGCTACACAAACAGAAGTGGAGTGGTCTTTCGCGGCATGACCTCACAGCCAAACTCTCCGTCACCGCATGACGGGCAGACAGACGACCGGAAGGGCCCCTCGCTCGCCCCTCTGCACCCGGACACGGGCCCCTTCTCCTGACCCTTGCTGCCCCAGCACCCCAGCGGCTCCCCGGTCCCGGTCCCCAGCTCGGGCCGCAGGAGTGGAGTCCCGGCCAGGCTGCTGCGCAGCGTGCCGCAGTGGTGAGCGTGGGCAGTGGGCTGAGTGACAGAGGATGCGGGAGCCCGGCTGCCCCTCCCCATGCGAGGGGGCAACACAGAGCTGACTGTCACTGCTGCGAACCTCCCTCCCTGCGACAGCTGTTAATTGGTTATACAGAGAAATACTTCCTGGCCTGTTCCCCAGCCTTCCAACGGACCACATGCCCATCTACACGCATGCAGAGCCCAGAGCCTCCAGAAGCAGGAGTCCCGGCCCCCTCGCAACAGTGCTGGCCACAGCCACCAGCCTCGAGTAGCGCAGCTGGTCTTAGGCTACAGCATTCATTATAGTCTTGTGACAATAAGAAAACATGAGATGAAATACATTAAATAAGTTAAATGTGCATTGAATGTCTCTGAACAGAGCTCAATCCCACTACAGAACCAACGGAATTTGGCTTGGTCCCCTTAAGAGAGCGAAGCACTGACCTCCCTCCCGGAAGTGCTGGGCCGGCCCGTCCCACCCCCCCAGGCCCGTCCCCACTGGGGCCCGTCCCGCCCAACACATGTCTTCTCAGCCCAACACATGTCTTCTGACTCCCAACACCAGTCCCCAGGAACGAACGGATGGCCTGGGTGGCACATGGACAAGCGGCCTGGGGAGAGTGAGCGAGCGGCGTGGGGCGGCTGTGAAGGGGACGGCACTGCCACCATGCTGGGCCCCGGCTCCCCGTGGGGGCCAGCACCACCGGGCAAGGAAGTGTCGTGTTTTCAGAGAGGTGACCCAGCAATGCAGACCAAGGCTACAAACGTTTACAATGACATTTACAAGACGCCATTATTGTCGTTTAATCAGGGTTTCCCTTGTCATTAACAAAGATCATTCTTTTCCCCAATCACGTACTATACATTTTTAAACTTTCTAAAAGGTCGTTATATTATGTTACATTTGTGTGTGTGCGCACTCGCAGGAAGGGGTCATTTAAAGGCAAGACCTGTGAGATGTCGTCATACATTAATTTCTTTTTATACACGGTTATAGTAAATTTGAATCCCACGACGTGGCGGGCCCACCGACCACCCTCGCCTGCCGCCTCTACAAGGCGATCTTCCCGACGATGACCCCGACGATGAAGAACAAGACCACCAGCGCGAGCAGCCGGGTGCTGACGCCCTCCTCCTTCCCCGGTGCGGCGAGCACGGGCCCTGGGCTGTTGCTCTGCACCGTCTTCCTCTTCCGAAGTCCATCTTCTTCCTACGGGAGCGAAGGCACATGTGAAGACAACCCACCCACCGGAAGCAGGAGGCATACGCACGGCCGAGCACAGGGGGTTCACACCCAGACTCGGACCCCGTGGTGTGGACCACCCTCCCCACGGGGAAGCCTGTGCAGGGACTGGCTGGAGGCCACTACAAAATACCGCCCCTCTTTGCTTCCATCCCCCCGCACGCTGCGGCCAGTCACCTTTCCACAACCCGAGTCGAAGCAGGGCACTCCTATAGAAAAGGGCTCTAAAGAGGGTCCAGACGGGGCCCGCCGACCTTTGTGGCCACGTCCCAGCTATTCCTCTTCCCCTACAGCTCCAACACCCTGCCCTTCCTTCCTCTACAAACAGGCATCCCGCATCAAGTCACTGATCTGAAATGACAGGCGTCTCTCAAGGCGCAAATATAAAAATCACTAGAAACTTCCAAGGAGGGACCTGAAAGCTCTCCGATGGAAAGCTGTGTGCGCAGTGGGTATCTGATGAGTTCCACAGAGACTGTTGGATTTTCACTCTTCATATAACGTGACTTCTAGAATGTTAAAATGTAACTAAACTTGATACATGCATCTCAAACATTTGCTACGCGCTGCATGGGTTTCCCAAAGAGGCAGCGTGATTCTCCCTGCACATAAAGACACTGGCACGTCTGCCCTGGCTCCACAGGTGTGCGAGGAGCGGGGATGGATGCCTTCCTGCCCCTGCGCCCCGGCCCCTCCCTCCTGTGCAGCACTCGCCCCCCCGGCTCCCGGGCCCCCCACTCCTCCTGGGGCCCACACACCAGCTGGGCTCTTTCTTTTTTCCCTTCTGTTCCTTTACGTCTACCAGTAGGTGCCTGCAGGTCCTGGAGATGACCGGCAGCCAGCCCACCAGGGGGACTCTCCAGCCCTGGGTGGCCCCGCTCCTGGCCTCGGCTGCCGGTCTAAGGCAGTGCCTGGGCTGTGCCCCCGGTCCCACCACTATCAGGGAGCCCCTGCAAGGCAGCACTGCGCCTGTCTGTGCCCGTAGTGCTGGGCACATGGCAGAGACTCAGGAAATGTGTTGAACAAATAAAAGAATGAAAAACACAAAACAGAAAATCAGTGTTTGGCAGGAGAAAGAATCTTCTAATGTCAAGAATAGTCTGGTGGTATTTTAAAGGTTCCTGCTTGTGGGCACAGCCAGTATCACTGCCCGGTGATAAATGACCAGTGTTATCCCAGTAACTTCAAAAAAAGAAATGGGCGCAGCAAAATACAGCGTTGATTTTATTGGGTTTATACAGAAGCTATTTCTACCTATTCATCACTTTACACAGCACAGAACTGTTTCTGAAGAGAAATAGACTCAAGAAGAGGCTTTAGGCATATCTTAGGTTTTTAGCCAAAAAGTCAAGTGTCAGCACAGTAACTTCCCCACTGACAGCTGTTACTGAATGCAAGGATGAAGACTTCTGCAGAGAAGAGCTTGGAGCCACTTCCCAGGCCCGTGGGCTTCGTGCCGACCACGGGGTCAGAGGGAGGGAAGGGCCGGCCAACTGAGTGGGTGTGTGCCAAGAACCTGGGGCTGCGGGCTGAAGAGCGAGACCTCGTGCACTGTTCCATGCATGGGAGGCGTGACAGGGTGGGGTGGGGGGGAATAGGCCAGTGTCAAAATTGAAGCTGCAACAAAGTCCCTATGGTCTGAGATCAGAGAACAGAAACACTCTCTTCAAGACCAAGTTTAAAACACACACTTTGAAAGCTGAAGGAGCCGTAGAGGCATCTGGTGAACGGTGGTCCAGAGACTCTGTGACTGACCGACTGCAGGCCAATTCAAGTCTCACCAGCCATTTCCACAACTGCACAGGCCTCCTGGGCCCAGCGCCCCCCGCCTCCTGCCCCCCCCCCCCATGCACCCTGACCCTGCTCCTTCCCCATCTCTGCCTGGCTGATCTGACAACTTCCCACCTCCAAGCCCGACAGTGGGGCCATAGTTTGACGAGGGCTTTTGCTCAGGGCTACTAGAATCTTCAAAAGTAGAACTGTACCTGTGTTAAGGTGGAACAGAGGTCAACCCCCTTCAAAACGAAATCTCACCCAGTGGGGATGGATGGAGGGGGGTTTGAAAATGTGAATCCCAATAACTCTTACAGTTTTAATTTTGGTCTCATATCTTACTTTCAACTTATATAAATGGAGGGTGGGAAGGTTTTTTTGTATTTTTTTTTTTAAACAAGAGGATAAGAGTTTAAATAGCTGAGAAACTTCAGGTTCTTGATGGAGGGGGGAGAAGGTGTTCCAGGACCCTTTGAGAACCAAATGAAAGCTATGAAATTTCTTCCTGGGGAAAAAAATGTGCAAACATAAACAACTCTACAAATTCAGGGGTTCATCAACTTCCCTATCCCAGGTCCTTTTTTTTTTAAAGATTTTATTTATTTATTTATTTATTTTGACAGAGGGGAAAAGAGGGAGAGAAACATCGATGTGTGGGTGCCTCTCATGTGCTCCCTATTGTGGCACTTGGCCCACAACCCAGGCACGTGCCCTGGGAACCAAACAGGAGACCCTTTGGTTTGCAGGCCAGCGTTCAGTCCACTGAGCCACACCAGCCAGGGCCTTACCCCGGATCTTAGTGAGGAAGCCCCATTCTCTGCACACTATCAGAGGAGAAGTGCCATTACCTTGACTTGTCTGTTCTCTTCCCGTAGCCTCTGTACTTCACCTTGCAGCCTCTTACACTCGTCCATCAGCTTCTTGACTTCAGTGTCATCCAAAGAGGAGCTCAGAGATTTAGACACCACTGGTGTTTCTGTCTTTGGTGCAGTTGTGGATATAATTTTGTTTATTTCTACATCATGCTGTTCAGAAACAAACGAAAGCCCGGGTGTCACCAGCTATGCACTGAAGGACTTCTGACGCACAGTAAAGCAGCTCTCAGCAAACAGCTACGGCTGTGTTTCACCAGCACTGGACCATGCCGCACCTACTTTTAAAACGGGTCCCTTTACCTAGCATCTTAATCACCGAAAGCAGCTGAGCCCCAGAACTTATGGACCAGACACAAGCGAAGTCCGGCTGAGTCCGGCACTTCGAAGACAGAGCCCCGGGCTCTGTGCACTGTGCCCGCGGGTTCCTGCCGCACAGAAATCAGCATATGGTGATCGTGCAGGTGCAGGGGTTGTTAGCCACAGACTGTGGTCACCGTGAGACGTGAACATCCCAGGACCAGCTGGGCAGGGGTGCGAGGCCAGAGAGGGCCCGGAGGGTGGTTTACTGTGTGCACACTGTGCCGGGAGGCTGGGGTGTGGGGCGGGGGCGGTGCCGCAGGGTTTTGGTCTGAGGAAGCACATGCGCCCCCCTGCTTCCCACGTTAGGGCACCGTTCGGAGACTGACTAGGGATGCAGGTGTCAGGAAGGTGGGGAAGGGTGGGTGTGGAGGCTCAGGTGTGCCGGGGGGAATAAAGTAACTGAGAACCACTCGCCTAGCGCCACCCTTTAATTTCCAAGTGGCGACTGGGAGTGTGAGGTCCCATCTGCAACACTAACACCACAGAGCAAGGACCAGAACAAGGGTCCCACAGCTTCCAAAGCCACCCTTCACACAGCACACTGCCCGACGCGGAGGCCCAGCGTAACGAAGCGTGCTGACGCCTGGGCCGGCAGCGCTCCAGGAAGTCTTCGGGGGTAACACTCGCAGATGGTCTCAGAGCATTTTCACCGCCCAAGGCCAGCCGGCCAGGAACAGCCAAGAGCACCTGATACTCTGCCAAGACTTCCAATTGTGTTTTTAATGCAACTGAGGTTTCCTCTGACAGGTCTGAGGGCTCCACACCAGCACTTCGGTACTGTCTCCAGTGGGTCGCCCCTCAGTTTCACATGAAGAGAGAAGGGAGGCGCGGCCCAGAGGAAGCTACTCCAGCGACTCCCCCTCCGCAGCCCAGGAGACTCTCAATGGGGGCAGCTGCCAGTCCCTGGTGGGTAGAAGCCAGGCGTCCGACAAGGCCCAGGCCAGCCCCACAGCAGAGTGTGGAGCCCTGGGGTCACAGCCTATGGCTAAGAAACCCACCCCAGAAGGCAGTCTGCCGGGGAGGGAGAGGTGCGGAGGGGCCAAGCAGGCAGGACCCTGCACAACAGCAACCCTCCAAGTTTGCTGCCTGCTCATCAGCCTCACGACAAGCAGCCGATTACTGCCCGTCTGAGTCCAACCCGGGTTAACAGTGACTGGTAGCTCTTCTGGGCTTTGTAACATTTCAACAGCCAACAGGCTTGCGCTTTGCAAGGGGAAAAACTGTTTCAATTAGTTGTCTTTCTGTAAGTCTTTCAAAGGCTGATTTCATGCGGGCCCACTTATCTGTTGACTTCAGCTCTTTTCCCCTTCGTACATCAGAAAGAGGAAAATAATTTGCCAACTTAAATCTTGGTTTTGCAGGAGATGGTATGCAAATAAGTATCAGCTTGCAACATTCAATTACTGTTAACTGTAAACATACTTACTGGTTTATCGTTTTCTGCTGGCAATTCAAACACACATCTAAGTTTTGAATCCATAAGGTCTTCCGGTTTTGCCTCCTTCCACTAAAACAATTTAAATTTAATAATCAGGATATTATAAAGCTACTGGAAGAATAATTTTCTTCCTATAACTGACAATTTCAGAAAAATACTCTTAATGAGAAAGTCCTGACGTATGTCAAATGAAGAACCAAGTCTGCTGAGATTTCAGTACGTCTGACTTGACAGGATTAAACATGCTCGCTTTCCTGAGTATTCAGTAAACACCACGGACCCCAGCCAGCGCCCCTCCCGCTGCCTGTCCGAGGGCAGATGTGGGACAGAGGGGCCCACTGCGGGCACTGGGAGGGCCGGTGCCCACCGACTCTGCAGAAGGGGACGGACCTGCTCCACGGCCCCGCCCTGCCCAGAGCAGGCACACCCCAGCTGGGAGTGGTTCCGGAACCACGCGGCTCTCGCCCAGCACAGCGGTCAGCCAGCACGCGCCTCTTCTCGGCCCACGCCTGCTGTGTTCTGTCCATGCGGACAGCTTCCCCTCCCCTAGAAGTGCACGGTGGGACTTTGGGTGTTCCAAACACTGCAGAAGGGACAGCTCCCCCACCGCGCCCCAGGGCCATGCAGGAGGCAGCCAGGGCAACGCAGGCACCAGGAACCAAAATGGGAAATGAGCACGTGAATGACAGGGCTGCCCAAGAAGCCCCGGCCGACCCCCCTGCGGGACAGCCTGCCACTCAAACAACATGGAGAGTGTTTGGGATGTGGGGCAAGTCCAAGGGGCAGTCAGTGAGGACGCCCCAACTGCAAACACGCTTCCAACTCTGTGCCTGTGCGCACATGTGTCAGAGTGTCAGGCAGGGACTGCACCCGGATGCTGGAGCCACCGGGAGAAAGACTGCAGGCCGGTGGGACGCTCATAGGCCTCTGACATGCTCAGAGCATCACCTGTTCCCTAGGAAGAGCCACCAGGGCAAAGGTGCTCTGACACTGGAGAGAGCTGGCCGCTCCCGTCTTAGCCGAGCAGCTCAGTGCGGTGTCACAGAGAGGGTCCATCAGCTCTGAGTACCTCCTGGTATGATGCACACACACCACCACCTAGCAACTATTTAATCCGAGTTTCATCCCGGGAAAGCAGCTGCACAGACCCAGAATGTGGGGCGTCCGCCAGCCCCTGGCCTGGAGGCTAAGACTTTCAAAGCCGCGAAAGGCAGACCAGGCTGGGGCTGCTCTGCCGGAACAAGAGCCACAGGCCACCTGGGGACCGGGCAAAATGCTGTGGTGTGCATTCCTCTCTGAGACCGCACCCCGGACAGGCACTTCCAGGGCTCTGCCTGCCTGTGCAGGGACTGGCGTCGCCCTGCAGCAGGCAGTGGGGGAGTGCGCGTCCCTCACTCAGTGACAGGAACGGAGCGTGCGTGGCAGCATGGCAGACGGGGAGTCTCAGGAAAGGTGATACGAGTGGTTACTTTGCCATTTTTCTGTATATCAGAAGAAGATGCATTTGTATATTTAAAATAAGGAAGAAGCACAAGGCTTCCCTTGGTCAACAGTGGTTAGGGTAAGGATAAACAAACACTGGGACCTTTTCATTGTGGCATCTCCAAACACCTCACACTGTGCACTTTGCACGGACGTCTCCTAAACTGCTGTCACAGCGAGCACACGGGAGTGAGCGTCCCCCCCTGCGGACACCGCCGGCCACCTTGCACAGAGTGCCTCTACAGAGCCCACGCCCCAGCTGGCCGGGCCCCAAAGAGGAGCAGCAGCTGCCCCGGGCCACGGAGTCAGCAGACCTCCGTGCCCGGACCCCAAGCCCGCACTCTGCACCGAGAGCCCCGCGGCACCAGCCCACAGGGTGCGTCCCGTGCGCCCTGCAGCTCCTCCACGGCCCAGACCCATATGGAAGGGCGCCTGTGCTCTAGGATGTGAAGGGGAAGGGTGAGCGCCTCGGCGACGCCCCCATGACAAGGAAGAGGGCGCCCGCCCTCTCAGACCCCCACTGGGGGCACATCCTGGGGGGCGTGTCCTTCGGGCACTGCCCGGCCGGTCCACACCGTGCAAACAGCCGCCTCCTCCCAGAGGAGCGGAGAGGGTTGCGTGCTGACACAGGACACAAGGGACTGAGCGCACATGGTCCTTGGTAGCAACTCTCGGAGGGTGAGTGTGAGTCCCAGCCCACCTGAGTCCCACCCTCCTCCATGACGCAGGGCCCCTGGCGTGGGCTGGGGAGCACACGGCAGCCCCGCCCAGGCAGCCCCGCCCTCCTCTCCCCAAGGGCAGGGCCCGACCACTCGCCCAGGGGAATGCCTCCTCCCTCACTCAACCTGCATCGCTTAGGCTGACCCTGGAATTCCGCTACACTCCTTCCTCCAGAAAAATCAGTAATAGAATACTGTTTACTTATTTCATGAAAATGAAGTCATCTTATTTTTAACAGAATTAAACATGTATTTAAGTGGGAAAAAAATGAAGAAATCTAAAGAAAAAAAAAAAAAAGAATCATGCTTACCAGAACCAAGCAAAATATGTAAGTAAGTAAGTAAGTAAATAAATACAGGAAGGGAGGGAGGGAGGGAGGGACAGCCTGAGGACATAAGTGTGAACCCTCCCCCCTCCGGACTCTGGTACCAGGTGGCCCCCTCTTCTGTGGGGCCCAGGGTGGGGAAAGGGAGAGGAGCCGCAAACCATTCAAGACGGGACCCATCAGAACGAGGGAGTGCTGGGGAAACTGAGGCAGAAAAGTCAGAAAAGAATAGTATTCTGGAGAGTTACATAAAACGTTAAAATCAGAGTTTTAGAAAAACCAGAAGACAGTCAAAGTGCAACCCCCACCCCTGGAACCCCCCCAAGGCAGTTCCGACACACTGGAAGTACATGCACCCACAATTCCGCACCTAACAGTGGCCGCGGAGAAAAAAAGAAGCGTTCCGTACTTACTACTGCTTCCATATCAGAAGTGTCAGTTGGCGCAAACATAGACTGAACCATAAACTTGTGTTTACTTTTCTCATTGGGGTCATAATCGAAAGGCTGTAACATCACTGAGAAAGAAAATAGTTCATTAGGAGGGTCAGACTTGGTTAGCAGCAGCCAGTCGTCAATACCTGCACGTTGGCTATAAAGCGATTACCCAGTTCTCGGTGCCCCTCGGTGCCCCAGGGGAGTGAGCGGGCACAAGGACCAGCATCTCCCCACGCTCAGGTCTCAAGCCCAAGGCCCTGCCCAGCTACGTGACTTGCCTGAGGTCGAAAGCAGGAGGTGGTGGAACCGGGACCCAGGGGCCCTGAATCCCAGTCACCGACCACACAGCTGACAGCGTCTCCTACAGCCCTCAGGAGGAGGTGAGCCAAGTTGGCAACGCCACAGGCTGGCTTTGCTCAAGAAAACAGGCCCAAGCACAATATCTGTACCAGACTGATCCGAGGCGTATGAGGAACTGTGTTTGCTCCTCTGTCCCACTTCCCAGAGCAAGGCCATCAAGGTCATCGCTGAAATGTCATTCTGCCCGTACCTGCTGCTAGCACTTTCACAAGCAGCACACTCATGCTCACGCCCCTTTTCCCCTGCTGCACCCAGAGGGGTCTCACCCAGGGGCTCCCTCGGAGCGCCGAGCCCTGTGCACTGAGGGAGGGCTCTGCTCTGACCAGCTTTATTTAAAGTGACTCCTTGGCACACGCCCCTGTGCTAAGGAGTCACTTTAAATAAAGTCTCTGAAACACAACACTTTCTCACATGGGAAAGGCCCACCGTGGTCCCGCCAGTACCAGGAGTTCACGTGGATGGAGCCTCTCCCACTGTTGGGGACCAGGCTCTGTGCTTCGGGCCTGTCACCTGTGCCAGATGACACAGCTCAAGTACAGAGAGGTCACGCTGTGGAGAAGAGCGCCCTCGAAGCGGATGGTCTGCCTGGAGGGCGAGCTCTGCCCTCCTCCCCCCCCCCCCCAGGGGATTCCACACCCTTTCTCTGGGCACTTGTCAGGGTTCTCTTCCCCTCGAACCCCATGTCAGGGCTTCCCAGGTCCTCCCTCCGAGGCCTCCCAACCAGCCGCACCCTGCAGCAGGTGAAGGCTGTGCCCGAAGGCGGAGCGCACAAACGAAGATGCTGGAGCCCAGGGAAGTGAGCCCACTTGCTCAAGGCCACAACGTCCGGAAGATGAAGAGCCACGTGCAGCCCAGTGCCCCTTCTGCCACGAGGGTCTCTCAACTGGACACGGGCCTCTATCCTGCACCACAGGCTCACACACCTCCCAGAGCCCGTGTGACATGGAACAGAGACAACAAGACCCTCCAGCCCTCTGGGGTGCCAGGGCCCTTTCTATCTCGGGGACACAGAGGGTCTGTTAAACCCCAACGACGCGGTGACGTGGGCACTTCAGTGTGCACAGGCAGCGGGCAGCTCTGCAGCCCACACCCCACGGGGTGCTCTGAGCTACAGGGGGCCATGCCGGGAGACTTCAGGACACAAATCAATAAACACGCAGCCCTTCCAAATCTTGGGGCTTGTATACACGTGGCACCAAGTTCAGCTACCAATAAAAATCACTAAGATAAGGGTGTTCTGCCCGAGTACCCAAGGCCCCAAGTGCGACCATTGCAGAGAGAACAAAGGCCACTTCAAGCAAGGGGGCAGGTGTAGTGGCGCCTCCCCCAGGGAAAGCAGTCCTGGCCGACAGCTCTGGGCCCGGCTGCCCTGAGCTGGCAAGAGCTCTTCTGGACAGACCTGGGACATCGTGGCCCAGCCGCAGGTGAAAACCAAGCACCCTCTGGAAGCTACCTTCCCACAGTGTCCCTCCACCCTCCAGTACGACGAGGAAGTTAACACATGATAACCTCGGGATTCGATGGGTCTTTGTTGGACAGGGTACATCAACTCATTCGGAGCTGGCTCACAGTCTTCAAACCAAGGTCATGACAATATTTGTTTTCTAAAACTTAGAGTGAGCTGGGTTTGAGAATTTCGGATTTTACGTATCTGCGACAACGTCCCACTCCAGCACTTTTGTGGGTGGCAAACAAGCAAGCTCTGTCCCACAGACACGCCACAACCAGCAGGGCGCAGCCTCCGCAGCGGGAACTGCCCCTGCCCTCTGCTCTGGAGAGCGCCCAGGCTGAACCAGGATTACGGGCCCAGTGCCACCGCCCAGAAGATGAAAGTGACAGAAGAGCACCACTGACTTTCAGGAAGCTGGCGCTCCAGCCCGAACCACGCTGGTCTAACATGCAGAGCTGCTAGGCCCGGAGAACCTAAGGCCCCTGCGAGCACAGCCCAGGGGGCTCTGCCCCGCCAGACCGCTGTGCCGGGGGGAGGGGAGGAACCCTCACCAGTGCCCGTCACGCACGAGGCCCCACACAGGCCCGGGCCTACTTCACAGCCTCCCCACCCAGTGCTCCCAACACTGCGCCCAGGCGGCCGTGTCTCATCCTGCGGACAAGCAGGTGAGGGCTCAGAAAGGCTGCTCGGCCTCACTCGGGGCCTACGCCAGTGCCTACGCCAGCGTATCAATGGCCGAGCGGTCAGCTCTCTGCCTGGCTCTGCCCCCAGAGTCAGACCCCCACACCACAGGGTCTCCCAGCATAAGTCACTTGCAGACCCCGAGGGTCTCGCACTGGGAGACCCATGAAGTCAAAACTGTGCTCGTGAAGATACCAAGACGCTATGAGCCTTTTCAACCGTGTTGACACTCAGTGGTGCTGGCACACAAGCGCCGGGTGGAACTGCGAGCGCCTGCCACGCCGGCGTCCTCTTGTCGGGTGTGGCCACTTTCCCTCAGGACAGCCCTGACAACACCTGGTGGCACAGCGGCCCCTGCGCCCACAGAGCTGGGCTGCCGTCTGAGAGGCTCCTGGGCAGCTGCCGGCTGGGGGCCCGGCCGGACGCCGCTGCCTCGCGGACCTAAAAGCCACGTGACTCGGACCTGGGCTCGGGCAGGCGTGTGCTTAGGCACGAATGCGGCGAGTCCCTCTCCTCGAGGAGAACAACTCACAGTCGTTGGGGCCAGTGACAAAGCCCAGGCTGCCAGGCAATCTTGCCACCAAGAGCTTCGCGGCTTCCCAAGTACTTAAAGACTTTTCCAGTGAAGTCAGTGGGAATAGTAACGAATGTGACCTTTTTGTTATATAATGAAGTATGTTGACATCGGAAGACCTGTATAATTCAGCTAACACAGTATTACACAATCCAATCAGAAGTGCAGAGACCAATGCATCTTAGAGAACCAAGTTCAAATAGCTCACAGACGGGGCTTCCGGTTCGACACTGTGCTGAGCTCCGAGGAAGTGCCGCTTGCCCCGTGTGGGTGAAGGCATCCGAGAACAACGTCCGTGATCATCTGGAAAGGCCACCGAAGCGCCCGTCCCCTCTCCGACCGCACACTCGGCGATGTGCGTGGTCCTCCTCCCGCCTGCCGGTCAGAGGGCGCCTCCCACCCACGGGCTGTCTCCCGTGGGCCAGGCATGGATGAGGTTCGCAGAGTGTGTTCAATAGCACCGGTCTCCTCACTACGTTTCTCGGATGGAACTGATTTATTAATGTGATCACAAATGAGTTAATACTTTTTAAATGTCTCCGTTTAGTTTGCAGTACGATAAATATTGACACGACCCACAAACAAAGCCACCCTCGGGTCACCAGCCTTTGTGAGCACAGGCCCTGGGCCGGAGGCCTGAGTGCCGTCAACCCCCGCTGCACCGCTGCCCAGGAAAGCCCTGCAGGCGGGGACCACCCTGGCTCGAGAGCGGGACACCCTGCTCAGGAGAACTGCAGTTGAGAGAGAAAGCAGTTCCACACAGACCCGGCCCTGAGTTCTGGTATGGACCAGGACTCGGTGGCACTGGAAGTGCACATGTCCTTTACGGGGGGTGAGGGGGGACAGCGCTCCTGTGCTATTCTAACCAAACCACCCTGAGGCTGCCTGCCCCACCTCTGCAGAGGGTGCCGAGACCCCTGCAGTGGCGGTCACTACAGTGCATGCCTGAAGCCTCAGGGGTCGTCTGCACTCAGACCTCCGAGTTAAACAGGAATGTAAGTAAGTGGGTAACAGTGGTGACCAATATTCACCACCTCAAGGGAGCACTGGAGACAGCCATGGTGACAGGTTGATATCCCTCTGGCCTTGATCAGCGTGGCTCACCAAGTGAAAGGTCACCCGTTCGATTCCCAATCAGGGCCTGTAGCCTGGGCTGTGGGTTCGGTCCCTATCTGGTCAGGCGCATAGGAGACACAACTGACCAATGTCTCCCCTCCTTTCCCCCTCCCTTCCCCCTCTCCAAAACAAGTGAGTAAAGTCTAAAAACCACATCTATCCCTCTGCAAAGGGGGGCACTTGTGAGATGTGAACAAGGGCATCCATCGTACCAGGGAGGCCGGTGGGAGTGGGAAACCGAGCTGTTGGTACGCCGTCAGGACACTGGGGGGATGGGGGAAGGTGGTGGCCACCCACCAGCTCTCCTTTCCTCTGGGCCCCAGAGGTGGCGAGCAGGAGCGAGGAGGTCCAGTGGCCACACAGACGCCACACGGACCCCCGAACCCCGGCTGGGCCCCAGTGCACGCCGGAAGCCTGTCTGTCTCAGCCACTGTCATCTCGCGTCAGACTCAATGGGCTCTACCCTATTAGCTGGCGCTTTATGAGAACATGACAGAATAAATGCTGTTAATCGTTTGTTCTCTCGGCTCCGTACATGCAAATTGTGACAGAAATTATGTACTTTTTCCATGACAGGCTATAAAAGAGCTTCCCATTAACTTAATTTATTTCACTTGAATACCAGAGACACTGATGATAAAACCCTCTTAAATGAACCATCTATCCTACTTTTAAAATGTATCTGCTGATACCACATGAAAAAGAAGCCTGTTACCAGGAGACAGCCCGGAGACCCGGGCGCCGCTCACCGGTGCTAACACCTCGTGATGTGCCGTCTGCTGCATGGCCCACGGCAAGAGTGGGTCCCAGCAGGAGAGGGCGTGGGGGCCATGGGACGCTGGATCGGAAGAGCGGGTCTTGCTCAGAAGAGAAGAAATGCAAACTGTATCATACTTAAC